CTTATCCATCTGCTGTAGTATTTTCAGATGGGGAAGGTGACGGTATTATTTGAGTCATCCATTTGAAATCAAAAGTGACAACACTCGTGAAGAGAAAAAAAAATGACCACACTCTCCCTTTGATTCCACACAACTTCTCTCAAAGGTCATATCATCACAGGTACTAGAGAGGCAAACCTGAGCACAGCATTTGTGATGGAGAGCTTTGGGTTTCCATTTTCAGGGATCACTGAATTACAGTCAAAGTTATGTACTGAAATGGAAGACACGGGAGGGGAGATGCTTGGTACTGGAATAGTTGTATCCTGGAGCCTGATCTGTTAAAGCAGTGGCAACTAATAGCCATTCCAGTGGATTGTTTTAAGTGAGCTGTTGATTTTGATCACACATCATGTACTCTTCCTAAAGTGGCAGAGTGAGGAAAGGTGCTCAGTGATTGCAGATGCTGGCTTTTCTTTGAGAGGATCAGGAGGTTCCCTTTCTTGGTGCTGACCCCCTAGCCACTTCTTAGGGACCAAAGGATGGACCGCTTGCCTTTCCTTTGAGGAGGCCAGTTTTAGGCATGGGATGAGGAGGCAGCCTGTAGGAAGGGGGTGGAGGGAAGGGGCATGTTTACTTTGTCTTCCATTGTTGATGTCTTCTTTCTCTTAAAAGCTCACTTTAATTCTTTTTATACTCTCTGTGTGTACATGTGTACTCTCAGCCCACTTCTATCCAGACATTTATGGTTGCAGGAGAAATGTAGGAGGAAAATCTGAATGGGCAGAGATCACATGAAACATCTCATTTAATCTACAAGAATATCGTTTAAACAGCTATGGGGATTGAAGATTTATGTGCTTTTTCATTTTTAATTATGAAGATAGGATGCCCCTTTCCTATAGTCTAACATTTGTAAATTCCCTTCTTATGATGTAGTTAAATATTAGGTCTCAGCTAATTTTCTAGGTATAATTCGACTATAGCTAGGTTTATGAGATTTTGATGGACAAATTGTTACTTTATTGTATTTATTTCAGTTTGTTAGTTTCCATAAACCAGGAAAATTTGAAGTAAGAGCTCTGTATTTATTTAATTTCAGCATTGATTAAAATACAGAGTATTTACTGGTTTCATACGTAGTAAGTGATTTTGGCTTTTTTCCTCTGGCTTGTATACCACACTGTCCTCAGAACCTAGAAGATTATTTTGACTAAGTAAATTTTTAACTTAAGCTTTGACTAGCATTTGGAAACCATTGATGACATCATAGAATAATAGAGTTTTGGCTGACATTTGGAAACCATGGATGATATCATAGAATAATAGAATTTTGGGGCTGAGGAGGGACTTTAACTTTATCTGGTTTAACTCCCTCGTTTTATAGTTGAGAAAATTGATGCCTGGAGAAGGTGGTTAAATAATTGATTGCCAAAGGTCACTCAGCTGCTCATTAGCAAAAACTCTGCTATAGTTCTGTTTCTACATCACTTGTTTTTCTACCTTAACTGATTCCTGATGTTTTCTTTAAAACATCATTTCCCTTAAAATTTATCTTTGATGTAGTTGATTTTTATCTACAGCCAGCCATTCATGCATCTAACATTTGAGTACCTACAAATAACCTAAGACCCCAGCCTTGCTTGTGAGGTGCAAGGTAGTGGGGAAGACAGACGTGTGAACAGCTCCTGGAATGTATTTTGTTTTGTGCTGTAAGGTGGCTCTTTTTTAAAGGGAGGTGGTTTGGTCATTGACACTAATTGACCATTGTTGTGGCCTTAGGAATCCAATAGTTAACTTTTAAAATCGTTTAGAATAATTTTTAAACTATTGTGTTATTTGAACTTGAGCTACACAGGCCAGGTCATATAGAACACAGGCCTTGAATTAGGCTTGAGCTTTTTAAAATATTGTTTAGAGGAAAATGAATATTCCTTGATGGCTGTTGAGAGTTTTGCAGAAATAACTTTGGATTTTCAGCTTGGAATTTTAGTTGTTTAAAAATAACTTATGAATAAATGTCATATTTTCTAACAATAGAGTAACATTCCTACTTTGCTGGAATTGGCAGTGAGAAATTTAAGTCTGATTATTATAGGCGAAGAACTGAAATGTTTTTCATCTTAGGTTCGAAGAGAAAACCTCTATACATTCTAATAACAAAATGCTACCTCTTTAATCCAGGGCTGTTCGCCCTTGTTCCTGCCTGCTTTCCCGCAGAGCCCCTTTCTACCTTCCACCCACTCTAGTTCCCCAGCTCTGTCCTCTGTTCTGCTGGGCCTTTCAGTTTTATCTTGTAGAGCTCCAGTTTTGTTTTGAGGTCTCCTCTGACTCTTTCATACTGCTGCTTTATCTCTTCAGCTTAACTGAAACCTGCTTTCTTCTTGTGAGTGATATTTTCCTCATAATACTTTCTAGTCACTGGAAGTCAGTTTTAGTACACTCCCTCTCCATTCATTGGGCAGGGGTCAGCTTTTTTTCTTTTCTTCTTTAAAAATAATAACTTATTGGGTGAAATTCACATGACATAAAATTAACCATTGTAAAGTGAACAAATTATTCAGTGACATTGAGTACATATACCATGTTGTGCGACCACCAACCCTGTCTAGTTCCAAAATATTTCCATTGCTCCAGAGTAAAACTCCTCACCCGTTAAGCAGTTTTTTCTCACCTCCCTCTTCCCCCAGCCTCTGGCAACCACCAATTTGTTTTCTATTTCTGTGGATTTATCTATCCTGGATATTTTATATAAATGGACTAATACAATATGAGACCTTTTCTATCGGCTTCTTTTATTTAGCATAATGTTTTGGGGGTTCATTCACATTGTAGCATGTATCAATACTTCACTCCTTTTTGTGACTGAATAGTATTCCATTTCTATGTATATACCACAGTTTGTTTCTTCATTCATCTGTTGATGGACATTTGGGCTGTTTTCACATCTTTACTATTGTGAATAATGCTTCTATGAACATGTGTGTTAAGTACTTGAGTACCTGTTTTCAGTTTTGGATATATACCTAGGAGTGGAATTGTGGGTCATGTGGTAATTCCATGTTTAACTTTTTGAGGAACCACCAAACTTTTTTATAGTGGCTGAGCTGTTTTGCAGTCCCACCAGCAATGTACAGAAGTTCCAATTTTTCCATGTCCTTGCTAACACTTGCTGTTTTCTGCTTGTTTGTTTGTTTTTTAATTAATGCTATCCTAGTAAGTATAAAGTTTTACCTCATTGTGGTTTTGATTTGTATTTCCCTTATGACTGCTGGTGTTCATGTGTTTGTTGGCTATTTGTGTGTCTTCTTTGGAGAAATGTCTTTTCAAGTCCCTTGCCCATTTTTAAATTGTCTTTCTGTTGTTGAGTTGTAAGAGTTCTTTATATATTGTGGATACTAGACCCTTATCAAATACATAACTTGCAATATTTTCCTCCATTTTCTAGGTTGTCTTCACCTTGATAATGACTTTCAATATGCAGGGTTTTTTAAAATTTTTTAACATCTTTATTGGAGTATAATTGCTTTACAATGGTGTGTTAGTTTCTGCTTTAAAACAAAGTGAATCATCTATACATATACATATATCACCATCTCTCTTCCCTCTTGCGTCTCCCTCCCTCCCACCCTCCCTATCCCACCCCTCTAGGTGGTCACAAAGCACCAAGCTGATCTCCCTGTGCTATGTGGCTGCTTCCCAGTAGCTAGCTATCTGTTTTACATTTGGTAGTGTATATATGTCCATGCCACGCTCTCACTTTGTCCCAGCTTACCCTTCCCCCTCCCCATGTCCTCAAGTCCATTCTCTAGTAGGTCTGCGTCTTTATTCCTGTCCAGCCCCTAGGTTCTTCATAACCATTTTCTTTTTTGTTTTTTAGATTCCATATATGTGTGTTAGCATGTGGTATTTGTTTTTCTCTTTCTGACTTACTTCACTCTGTATGACAGACTCTAGGTCCATCCACCTCACTACAAATAACTCAATTTCGTTTCTTTTTATGGCTGAGTAATATTCCATTGTATATATGTGCCACATGTTCTTTATCCATTCATCTGTCGATGGATACTGAGGTTGCTTCCATGTCCTGGCTATTGTAAATAGAGCTGCAATGAACATTGTTATACATGACTCTTTGAATTATGGTTTTCTCAGGGTATATGCCGAGTAGTGGGATTGCTGGGGCATATGGTAGTTCTATTTTTAGTTTTTTAAGGAACCTCCATACTGTTCTCTATAGTGGCTGTATCAATTTACATTCCCACCAACAGTGTAAGAGGGTTCCCTTTTCTCCATACCCTCTTCAGCATTTATTGTTTGTAGATTTTTTGATGATGGCCATTCTGACTGGTGTGAGGTGATACCTCATTGTAGATTTGCATTTCTCTAATGATTAGTGATGTTGAGCATCCTTTCATGTGTTTGTTGGCAATCTGTATATCTTCTGTGGAGAAATGTCTGTTTAGTTCTTCTTCCCATTTTTGGATTGGGTTGTTTGTTTTTTTGATATTGAGCTGCATGAGCTGCTTGTAAATTTTGGAGATTAATCCCTTGTCCGTTGCTTTGTTTGCAAATATTTTCTCCCATTCTGAAGGTTGTCTTTTCGTCTTGTTAATGTTTTCCTTCGTTGTGCAAAAGCTTTTAAGTTTCATTAGGTCCCACTTGTTTACTTTTGTTTTCATTTCCATTTCTCTAGGAGGTGGGTCAAAAAGGATCTTGCTGTGATTTATGTCACAGAGTGTTCTTCCTATGCTTTCCTTTAAGAGTTTTACAGTGTCTGGTCTTACATTTAGGTCTTTAATCCATTTTGAGTTTATTTTTGTGTATGGTGTTAGGGAGTGTTCTAATTTTATGAAGTCCAGTTTATCTAGTTTTCTTCTGTTGCTCTTGCTTTTAGTCACATATCTAAGGATCCATTGCTAAATCCAAGGTCATGAAAATTTATCCCTGTTTTCTTCTAAGAGTTTTATAGTTTTAGGTCTTATATTTATGTTGTTGATATATTTTGAATTAGTTTTTGTATATGGTGTGAGGTAGGGGTCTAATTTTCATTCTTTTTGCATGTGGATATCCAGTTGTCCCAGCACCATTTGTTGAAGAGGCTGTTCTTTCCCTATTAAGTGGTCTTGGCGCTCTTGTCAGAAATCAGTCGGCTAGGGACTTGCCTGGTGGTCCAGTGGTTAAGGCTCCACGCTCCCAATGCAGGGGTTCAATCCCTGGTCAGGGAGCTAGATCCTTCATGCCGCAACTAAAAAAAAAAAAAAAAAAGATCCCACACGGCTCAACTAAAGATGCCGCAACTGAAGATCCTGTGTGCCACAACTGAAACCTAGCGCAGCCAAATAAATAAATAAATAATTATTTTAAAAAAATCAGTTGGCTAGGAATATATAGGCTTATTTGTGCACTCTCAGTTCTGTTTCATCAATTTAGCTGTCTATCACTATGCCAGTACCACACTGTTTTGGTTTCTGTGGCTTTGTGGTAAGTTTTGAAATTGGAAAGTGTGACTCAACTATGTTCTTTTTCAAGACTGTTTAGGCTGTTGGAGGCCACTTGCAATTCCATATTAATTTGAGAATCTGCCTTTCCATTTCTGCAAAAAAAGGGGTTAGAATTTTGATAGGGATTGCACTGATATATCCATTTGGGTAGTATTTTGACCTTAACATTAGTAATAGTGAGTCTTCCAATCCATGAAGATGGGATGTCTTTCCATTTATTTAGGTCTTCCTTAATTTTAGCAATGTTTTGTAGTTTTCAGCGGATAAACCTTTTATCTCCTTGTTTAAAGTTATTGTTAGGTATTTTATTCTTTTGCGTGCTATTATAAACGGAGTTGTTTTCTTAATTTCCTTTTTGGATTGTTTATTAAGGGACCAGCTTTTATCATGCATTATATCCTTTCTTTCTTACTTTGATTTTTGATTGTTTTGCCCCAGGACACTGACTCAGCATCCTCGTCTGTTGAGGTTTATTGATACTTGTATGACCTTTGACCCATTAGAGTTGTTGCAGCCACTCAGTTGCAAGATGATCCTCAGTGACTATACCCTGACTTGCTTTCATTATTTCCCTCCCTTTATCCCAAAGGATATTAAAATCTACTGTGATTTTTTTTTTTTCCTCAGCTGTTACTCCTTTGACCATGCTGGTGTCCTGGTTCTCAGGTCTCTTTTCTAAATAAGGCACTCATTGAAATGGACACTTTGGACTTGGTCCTTTTCTCAGCCCTTGGAACTTCCTTGTTCTGATCAGGACACCCCAACCTACTTTCTCAGTCACTCCCCTCTACCAGGCTCTGTTTCCTGGTCTCTTAAAGAGTTACCCTTTTCCTGTCTTGTGCCCAGCTGGCTCAATATAGCATCGCTGAATAAACTGTTTCCCTCATTGCCTCTCTAACCATTCCTCGCTGCCCGCTTCTCTGTGGAGGCTACCACACCAGTCCCAGACAATGATAAGCCTTGCTGTCTACTACCCCTGCTTTGAGATTGCATTTAATTGTTATTGTCATATTTGAAACACTAATAATTAGAAGCAATTAGAAAGAAGTAGATTATCTAGATTCTGTCTTCATTGTCTTTCACTTTTACTTAAAAATTGTTTTGAGCGTCATGGGGAAGGAAAGAAAAAAGATTACATTCAGAAATAAATGTATGATAGTCTCTACAGATTTCATCTTTTTCTAAAAATCAATTTGTTTAAAATTCTTTTTATTTTATTAATTTTATTTCCTGATTATCAGAGTAAAAACATACTGATGGGCCATTTGGAAAGTGTACAGGACCATAAAGAAGAAGAAAAGTATATGTTATTTAACCGTGCATTGGCAGTCTTTGGTAAATATCTTTCCAGTATTTTTTTCCATGTTCTCATTTTTCTTTATGTAGTTGAAATCTTAGAACATGGGTAACTCTTTGATATAGATGGTACTTCACAATCTATTATGTTATGTTTTCCCTCACTCTCTGTCTTCTTACCTGTGGTCAGATTGTGGCCTATACATTTTCTACTTTATGAAATTGACTGTGCTTTTCATTATAGCTGATCACTTTTTCTAAATCTCTTATTGATGCTTTGAAAGAATTGAATTTCCTTTAGAGTATGGTCTTGGTGTGTCTGCATGTCCACTCATCCGTATTAATTATGGATGGAGATACACGTATCAACATGCTAAGATCAGACTGATAGTTTTGTACCATGATTATACTTACATTGGGTTCTCTTCATATTTCTATTATTTTGGGAAGATTTTACTTACATTGGGTTCTCTTTGCATTTCTAATATTTGGGGAATTTTTTGGACTCCTTACATTTCATTTAGAGTTATATTCATGATGATTATACTTGAATTATTATGTATCATGTAAACCTCAGTGTAAAATGATTACCTCACGTTAGAAATAAAAGTGTTATTAACCTTTCAGTATGTTTTGGAGTAGCTTTTTTGGGGAAGGATATATAATCGGTGTATTTTTTGAGAATCTGTTGTCTTCACATATGATGAGAATCTGTCTGGGAATGTAATTCTTGGCCCGCTTCTGATTTCCCTGAAACCTATAGCTTTATTGCCTTCTCTGTCGTCTTCAGGATTTCCCATGTTATCCTTATTCAGACAGTGAGCATGCGTAGTCCAGGGATTTTCTTCTCCTTTCAGCCCCATTGTCACTGTTGCATGGTGAAGTTCTTTCTGAGCTTTGAACTTTTCACTATGAGCTTTTCAGTTCGTAGTACTTTGCCAGATTTTACCTTTTGGTTGGGTATTTTAAGGGAAAGTTGAAGGAAGATGTTTTAGTCATTAGTAAATTATTATTACTAGTGTTAATCTTGATATATCAAAGATATTATCTTTACCAGTGTGATTTTTTAAAACTGAAATTTGTTGTTTGAGGGCTTTCTCTCTAGCTTTTACTGGCCTTCATGGATTACTCTAGGCAGTAATTGGGTTTTTGCTCAGTGCATTGCTGTAGCTGTATGCATATTTCTTTAAACATGTTTTTGAAAACTAATTTTTATTTTTCCCAGTTTAACTTAACTTTCATAGGAAATTTAAGAAAAGAATAAAAGCATAACCCATAAGCCACCATTTATAATCAATCACTTCATATTTTTTGGTATTTCCTTTCTTTTTTGAGAAATGGTACACACACATTGTACGTATACATGTACAGGGTTTTTTTAAATGCAGGTCCTCTTTTTTTTTAACCTTTTTATAAATTGAAGTATAGTTAATTTACAATGTTGTGTTGGTTTCAGGTGTATAGCAAAGTGATTCAGTTATATATATAACTGAATATATATTCTGAATGTATATGTATTCTTTTTCAGATTCTTTTTCCATTATAGGTTATTACAAGATATTGAATGTAGTTTGCTATGCTATACAATAGGTCCTTGTTGTTTATTTATCTTATATATAGTAGTGTGTATATGTTAATCCCAAATTCTTAATTTATCTCCACCCCCATCCCCTTTGGTAACCATAAGTTTGTTTTCTATGTCTGAGTCTATTTGTTTTGTAAATAAGTTCATTTGTATCACATATGAGTGATATCATATAATATTTGTCTTTGTCTGGCTTACTTCACTTAATATGATAATCTCTGGGTCCATCCATGTTGCTGCAAATGGCATTATTTCATTCTTTTTTATGGCTGGGTAATATTCCATTGTATATATATACCACATCTTCTTTATCCATTCATCTGTTGATGAACATTTAGGTTGCTTCCATGTCTTGGCTGTTGTAAATAGTGCTGCTGTAAACACTGAGGGTTGCATATACATTTAATTCACCAGACAAATATTTATTGAACACCTGTTTTATGCAAGGGAACTATTATAGATGCCAGACATTATTAAAATTTTGCTGTATATAGTTTGTATCTTGCCTGTTCTTATTTAATGTAACATTCTAAGCAAAACTCAATTCATTAAAATTTATTTGTAACAGTCCTGTTCATGGCTTCATAGTCTTTTTCACTGTTTTTTTAGCCATTAAAACCTGTCTTCAAAGGGGAAGCTCAATATGTCACATGGATGAACAGGAGAGATTTGACTGAAGGGGTGTAATGGCTTAGAGTACCACCTCTCTCCTTCTCCAAAGAAAGAGAAGTTGTTGAAAACTATTGTTCTCTGTTTTGGATATATTATAGTTTATTGATTACTGCTCTGTTGCTGGTAGTTTATATTGTTACTTTTCTTCAATTTTAAATATTATTTTGATTAATATCTATACATAAACATTTGGATCTATATTTGGTTTCCTTAGGATGAATTTTTCAAATTGGACTTAGTGGGTCAGAGTATAAATATTTATAAAATACTGATATATGTTCACAAATTGCTTGCTTGCCGCACACTGCCTAACATTCAGTATTGTATTTAAAGAACATAAGCATTTCTGTTACAACATCAAATACATTAAAAAAAAAAACCTTTAAGGTTTCCAAGTCACTGAAAATAACAGGACTTATGGGAAGAATAAGGTTAAGGGCAAACCATTCAAGACCTCTGCAGTTTTCAAACCAATTACTAACAAAAGCATAATTGGTACCTTATGAGATAACTTGGACAGCCTGGTCAAACTACTTAGGGTGGCTGAGGCTGCTTCAGAGGAGAATTAAAGATGTTAAAACATAATAGGGTGGAAATCGCTGGCTTGCATGTTTTTGAGATAGTGCAGATGAGAGCAGCTTTCTAAGCCATTGGGGCTGCCATAGAGTTGGACACAAGAGAAAGTGCATCTTCCTAGGTCCAGGAACCATGCAGAGACTGGTGGTGCTCCTCTGAGGAGAGAGCCCTGCGTGCAGGTGCTTATTTTTAGTTTTCTTAAAATAGGGCTGAGAGGGCTCCTGCCTGGTGGTAGCTAAGTTGAGTAAGGGTCTTTTCCTTTTCCACTGAAAGTTATAATTCTTTACCTGCTATTCCAGTCCCCCTTGCCTGGGAAAATTCAAATGTAAACTGACACAATTTCTGTGTTGTACTGGTATTGTTATTTTGTTTACTAACCACTTATAAGCTAATTGGTGTTCAGGAACCTGTCTTATGACAGAACAGACTGTATTTGCTAATTTGATAGGTAAAAATTTGAACCTAATTTGAACCATTAAATTTGAACCATTAAAATGGCTTCTTTGAAGAAATTCAAACCCTTCCAA